ATAGTTCAATTTTCTGTTGGTACTGGTTGTTTTTCTGTTTCTAAATTGTTGCTGTCCTTATTTTGATTGTGCAAGGAGGCACAGTGTGTCTACCTACGCCTCTATCTTGCCTGGAAATTCCTATTTCACCACATTTCTTACTTCAAATTTTTTTTCCTGTTTTCCTCTTAAACCTCGGTGTGTCTTATGGTCCAAAAATATGGTATACAGAGTTTAAATCGTTAGTGCCTTCCTGGGGAGCTGAACCGCTTTATCATCATGTGTGACCCTCTTTGTGTCCTATTAGGGCTGTCGTGAGTCGCTGCCGTATCTGCCCTGGTGCCCCGAAACCAGCTTCCTGTCCGTTCGTACTTGGTGATCAGTCCTTTCCCATCCGAAATAGACCCCAGTGTTCATTTCCTTTGTTTCAGGTGTGTCTCTTGAGAACAGCATATGATGGGACATTTTAAAGTGCGACCAGGTCCTTGGTCCCCTGGTGGGTTGTGAGATCAACACTTGCTGTACCAGCACTGAGGCGTTATTCTCTGATGTTTTGCTTAGGAATGTCCTTCAGGAAGCAATGAGAATCACTCGTCTTTTTAAATATCAGCCTTGAGTGCGCATCTTTTAGATACTCTGGGTAACAGAGCCGGGGGGTTGTGTGAAGTACTCCCCCCTACCTACGTCAGATATTTGTCTGCAGCTGGTTGGGGCTAGGTTTTTTTAGTGTATTGGAGTGACATCAGTTAGTGAAATGACACAGGTTCTAGGTGTACAAGCCTATGGTAAGCTGTCTGCGACTTCAGTTGAGAGGCAGGCGTCTCCTCACACACAAGGGGAGCCCATGGCTTCAAGCAAGACAACGTGTGGTATGTGTTACCAATGATAAAACTGAAACTTTCAAGCTGAGTGGAAACTAGAAAACTCTTACCCTCAACTGTAGCCATGACAGGCTCGCAGAACTTGCGGACTTTTCTGAGGAAATCGGTGATGTTCACGAGTGTGATTTTTATGCTGTGCAGTGACATGGGTCAGCATCCGCAGAGCTCTGGGATCCAGGGCTTCCCAGGGCTCTGAGCTCATGCGTGGCAATCACAAGATGGACCAGTGGGTTTTAAAGGAAGAAACTATGAGCTGTTCACCCATAAGGGTCTCAGCTCCACACTGGCAAAAGGCAGCCTCGCACACTTGAATGAAAAGAGGCCCCTGTGGGCACAGCTCCGAGTGGCAGACGGGGGGGCTGGCAGACAAGCAAGCACGCATGCGCTGAGCTGGGTGCCGGATGCGTGAATGAGTTGGGGTGGTGGGCAGTGAGCTTGACTTCCATACAACGCCTGTGCGATCTTTTCCTTTGGGAGCTGACCGTCCCTTTGCGCACCTGCCAGAGCCCAATGGTCGCTGAGCCGTGAGCATCTGGAGGGCCGAGGCTGCTGTTGGGCTTCCGTGCCTTGCGTGGGGCCTGGTGCGCAGGAGACTCACGGGACGGGCACCCACGGGCTGAGAGAGCGCGTTCCCTGACGCCCACGTGACTCTGGCTTTGTGTTTTCCTCCAGGCCCCACCGATGATGGCGAAGAGGAGATGGAACGGGACACAGTCACAAACGGGTCCTGAGCAGCGAGGCCTGGGAATCCACAGGCCGTGCGTTTTGAATGTGGAACAGTAGCCTCGTTTGTGTCGGCATAGAGTTCCTGAGCATTGTCAAAATGCTGCAAGCTGCTGCGGGTCATTTCTTAATATACAATTGGAAATTCAGATGCCTGTTTTCTACAAAGAGTAACAATAAAGGACACTCGCTGTGCTGCCAAGTTGCATGTCATTGGGTTGGGCGTGTGGGGAGGTGTGTGGGCGCCTTTAAGTGGGAAATGCAGGAGGGCATCGTCTCTAACTAGGCTTCCTGGTCCTCAAGGAAATGCTTAGATCGGGATGTCAGACTCACTATTCCTGGGGGCCACATCAGCCTCACGGTTGCCTTCAAAGGGCCGAAATAATTTTTGGACTGTGTACATGTGACTACTCCTTAACTGTTAGGGACTCGAAATCACGGTCCACCCTTGGAAGGCAACTGCAAGGCTGCTGTGAAAACTTAATAAAACTCGGGAGTGTGGGCTGCCAGTGACTGGGAGAACCTGCCAACCCTGGATCATTCTCTTCTGTGTAAAGAATAGTGAGCTTCATTCCAGGCAGCCGGGCTTTAGGGCTTTACCAGAACCAGCATCCTTTGGAGTTTTTATTTCATAAACATTATGCAAATTCATCACTGATTTGAAGAACTGGAGGGGGACGCAGCTTTCCCTTGTCAGCTGAGGGAATGCAGAGCGGCACGTGCCAACGTTCAGGACGTCGTCACGGGGGAGTCACCGCCATCCCCATGGGCTGGCCAGGGCAAGGGTCCTGACAACTCCACACTTTATCACAATTCCCACCCTGTTAGAGGCCATTGACTCTCCTCTGAAAACAGTGGTGCAGGTGAGGGCCTCCACCCCAGAACTTGGGTTCTAGTTGGCGACCACCGTTTGCTCACACAGCTGGCTCTGCTTTCCCCACCGGTCTGTGGACAAGCTGGTTAACTGGGCAAAGGTGCAAAATTACTTCTGCCTACTTGCCATTGGCCCAAGCAAGACACCTGGCTGCATCCCCAGTCAAAGGCTGGGGAAATACACTCCTCCCACCTGGAGGCTGTGGTGAGGCTATGGGTGTAAAGTGATGGACTGGGGCAAGTCAGTCCTTTTTAAAATTTTTTAAAGATTATTTATTTTGAGGGGAAGAGAGAGAGAAAAACATCAATGTGTGGTTGCCTCTTGTGCGCCCCCTACTGGGGGCCAACCAGGCATGTGCCCTGACTGGGGAATGGAACTGGCAATCCTTTGGTTCACAGGCCAGTGCTCAATCCACTGAGCTGCACCAGCCAGGACAAATCAGTCTTAACATGGTCAGTCAGTGATGGGATTCTGGATACTACCTTTGACCTGTTTCGGCAAACAACACCTGAGCAGCTGTATTGAGCAATTGTTTGCTGAAATAACTGTGGTTCTTGGCAAGCTAGGGGAGAACACGCCCTGATTGAAGGGGCAAAGGTTAGAAAGAATGGGACCACAGAACAACAATATGTGAGGGATTGAAAGGGGACACCATCATTCATGCATTCTAATAACTCAAAATCTATGAAATCCGAGTTGAATAAGCCTGTCATACTGTATGCATCTGCATACAAACGCAGATGCACCGTGCTGCAGCTCATATTACAATGGAACCCTGGTTCTTGAACTTAATTTGTTCTGAAAGGCTGCTTGAAAAGCAATTTGTTAAAAAACCAAATTATTCATACTCGTGCATCTTCTCCATCACCCAAGAGACACATGAGTGATCACACAGACATTTTTTCCATGAATGACCTCGTTGAGAACGGAATTGTTCAAAATGAGACAGTGGCCCTGATGGTGTGGCTTAGTGGGTTGGGCACTGTCCTGTGGACCAAAAGGTCAGCCATTTAATTCCAGGTCAGGGCGCATGCTTAGGTTTTGAGCCAGGTCCCCAGTAGGGGGCATGTGAGAGAACAGAAACATCAGAAACATCGATGTTTTTCTTACTCTCTCTCCCTCTCGCTCTAAAATTAAATAAAATGGGGGGGGGAGAGGCTGTCTTACTAAAAAGAAAAATAAAAAGGTGGGAGACATTTGAGAATCAGGGTTTGACTATATTTAAAGCTGCTTCCAGACCAAGTATTACAACCATAAGCCCAAGAAATCATTCATTTTTAGCACAGGTTCTTCAAGATGCCACAAATAAATGAAAACCCACCTTAAAGCAATGAGCGATGGCGCACCTTTTACGAGTGAAAAGAAAACAGTGAGAAGTAGGCTTTAGCCGTGGCCAGATAGCTCAGCTGGTTAGAGCTTTGTCTTGATACACCAAGGTTCTGGGTTTAATCCCCAGTCAGAGCACACCTGATAGCTCAACCAACGAGGGCATAGACAATGAATTGGTAGTTCTCTCAAATCAGTAAATAACAAATTTTTAAAGAGGTGTAAAAAATTCAACCTAATAAATGTGAAGATCTAATTGCTTTATTAAGTGAGTCATGATCAGGCAGCATCTCATCTAGCAACTAGAAGGGCACTCAGAGGGGCTATAAACAAAGTGGAAGGTTTTTACGGGAGGAAAGGTGGGGCAAGGGAGCTACTGAAAAAGGAAAGGGGAGTCTTTGAGGTCTTGCTCCCCTGGTATATGTTGCCAGCTTGGCTCAAATTTAAAATAAAAAAGAAAGAAAGGATTATTAGATGGGGGAACCTCTTTGGGGGGAAGGAAAGAGTTTTCATCATGCAGATTGCCTCTTCTTCCTGGGGTGGGGATGCAAGATGTGACAGATGCTTTACTGGTGCCTGACCAGAAAGTTCCAAACTAGTTAACTATGTTTCTGGGAGAGAGTGAGACAGCAAGTAGGTTAGGTATTAAAACTAGGTTTGGTATCATAGCAGCATATGGTTTTCTCTTTAAAAATTCTGTCAGCTTTTGAGACTGCTAGGTATGTTCACTTCAAAACCTTTCACTCCAAAAAAACCTTCCACATCAAATTACAAATAGGATAGGATAAGGTAGGCCTCAGAGGGGGGTGGCAGGTGAGGAGTGGAAATGGGTGGAGGGCATTGCAGGCAGCGACAACGGCACCAATAACCGCGAGTGTTTTGTGACAGTGAAATTGAGTGTTAGAGCCATTGCTGTAATTCATCTCAAGAGGTTTTGATTCTGTAAGGGAGGAGAAACATGAGGGTCGACGGGACTTTCTTAGACTAAACGGTAACAGTGGCAGCAGGAGCAGGCTTCCCCGCTTGAGTACAAAAGTAAACACTCGCTAAACCCACAAGTAGGTCAGCGATGCGTCCCCTGGGAGGACAGGACGCACCGCTTCGCTGTGCTCAGACAGCCCAGGACTCTCCCGGGCCCTGGCCCCGCCCACTCCCCTGCGATTGGTCAGGTCACCGATACCACGCCCCCGAGTACGTATACGTGGGGCGGGCCGAGGCTGACGGGGCGTAATTCGGCAGAGGTCTGGCCACCTCGGAGCCCGACCGAGAGCAAGTTGCTGCGCGCCCACCTCTCGAGATGGAGGGGCTGCGTTTCTTGCACGTCACTGGTGAGTTGCCGCAGGCCTCGGGGAATCGGGATGGCGCCGACTACGTATGGTGCGTCTGCCTCCGCGGCGCGCCGGGCCCTGCTCGGGCCTAGGCCTGGGGAGGCCTTGGCCTTCCTGGAGTCGCATTTTCCTGGGCGGTGCCGTCCGGCTTTTTATTTACTTTTGGGGGAAGCAAGCTCTTGGGCTGCGGTTTCTGGGATCGCTGGGCCTTTGGAGTTTGTCTCCAGCCCTCATTGCCCAGCCCGCACATACTTGTAACAAACACCCCGCCCCAGCCCCCCACGGCCACCCTTCTCTCCGTTCCCGGGGCCTGAGAGGCCTCTGCCCTCCTGAGTTGCAGGAATTCTTCTCTTTACCCCCAGTAGTATCATTTTTTTAGCTTCTTGCGAACGGTTTTCTTTTTTTTTCCCCCAGTGGGCTCTCTGCTGGCCACCTACAGCTGGTACATCGTCTTCAGCTGCTTCCTTTTGAACCTGATTTTTCAGAAGTTATCAGCCTTGATGCAGAGGCAGCTGGACCGAGCCGGCTACTGTGAGTTAGTAACTGATTGCAAATCCGCGCTGTTAGGAGTAAGAAGTATGGGAAGGAAAGCTTTGTGCGCTTCTGAAATCGATTTTGGTGAACGTGCAACAGATTCTCTCACGTCAGAGTTTTTAATTGGGGGACACGCACCGCCAGGCGCGTGTCTTGTTGGAGGGTTTTTCATTTATAGGATGGGTTAAATTGAAAACTTCACTCATGGGTCTGCCTGCTAACTCTGAGTTGTCTTTCAGACGTTTGTGAGTGAGGAGAAACTCAGGTTTAGTTCTTCATAGTTATTATATTTTGATTTATCACAACTCACTCATCAGACCTGACTTCAAATCATACTTGGTTATTTAAAAATCATTCTCTGAGCCCTGGTTGGTGTGGCTCGGTGACTTGAGCACCGGCCTGTGAACCAAAGGGTCACCAAGTCAATTCCCAGTGAGGGCACATGCCTGGATTTCGGGCCAGGTCCCCAGTGGGGAGTGCCTGAGAGGCAACCACACACTGATGTTTCTCTCCCTCTCTTTCTCCCTCCCTTACCCTCTAAAATCTTTTTAAAAATAATTTTCTCAGAAATGGTAGCTTTTTCACAACTTAGAAACTATAGTTTGAAGCTACAGTTTGAGGACATCCCAAAGAAATGTTAAGTGCTTTGAGAATAGCGGCATAATTAAATACAAATGGCGCTCATCTGGGTCACCATGGTTACAGAGGTTGGGGTGGAAAGCAGGTGTAGTGACCAAATAGTCATTCATTCCAACGTGCCTCTCTCCACTCTCCCCAAAGCCTGTGGTCCTGCCATTCTCAGTCTTTTTGGTTGTTGGCTACATGCATGTCCACCACAAAGTTAACAATACAATTGTAAATCTTGAGTAAGATGCAGGATTTCATGAAGTGGCAGGTGGTGGTGATGGGATTGCACATCAAAGAGGATCGTTTTTAGGAAGCACTACAGAGCGTAACTGCAGCAAAAGGTGGTGCGTTGTGCTACCCAAGTTTGTGGGAAGAAGAATAAAAAACTACACTTGATGGATTTTATTCTAAGAATGGGCCAACAGAAATGGCACTGAAACTTACATTTCTATAAAATGGAAGTGTAGCTTTGTTTTTTAAAGATTTATTTTTAGAGAGAAGAGAAGGGAGGAGAGAGAGAAACATCAGTGTGTGGTTGCCTCTTGAAGTCCCCCTATTGGGAACCTGGTCTACAACCCTGGGCAGGTCTCCTGACTGGAAATCAAGCCAGCAACCCTTTAGTTTGCAGACCAGCACTCAATCCACTGAGCCACATCAGCCGGGGTGGTTTTCTTTTGAAAGTTTTAGTCAGCTCTACAGCCACTGTGCACATGCAGTGGTTTATTTGACGCCTGCATTATTTTTATGATATTTTGGCCCCTTTTTTATGTGGACTCAGTTTAATGGCCTTATTTTTCTACTACCTGTAGGGAATGTTGATCACCTGTAGTAAAAATTGCAGTCAAATCTCAGTTCTCAAATGTCTCGGTTTATTGAACAAAACTTTTGCTTCTCAACCTGACAACATCGTTCATGCCGACATCGGTGTGATCAGCCAGTCACCTGTAATATTCAGTTTTCAAACCGGTCGCTTCTCAAACAGCCTCTGGAACAAACTGAGTTGGAGCCTCAGTTCCATTTTCTTCCCTATTAGATATAATGTCAACTGAAGTAACTTGTTCCAAACCCCTAAATGATTCCGTTTCAATCTTTCTTACATACAGTACATGTCTAATGTACTGTTTAGTCTGTAAGACATATTAAAAACAAAGAGACCATGAAATGTAAAGGAAAAGTTAAACAGGAAAATGAAATGTCTGGTAAAACATGAACATCTACACACACTAGAACTTACCTTTAATGCTGAAAGCGATTGATGACTGAAGGTGGGGAGGAGGGATGGAGGAGTGTTGTTATTGTTTGGAAGGGGAGTCAACATCTTCCATGAGAAACATCAGGTAGCCTTCCCCAGACTTCCTGAATTGGAGTTGCTGAGGGAAGGGTTTCTGGTGCTAGGAACGCTGGCTGTGTACAGTCTGCCCTGTAAGCAGCCAAATGTAAGCAGCCAAATTATATGGGGAATGGTAGGCTTCTTCATGTAGAAACATTTTTGCACCATCTGCTGTCTGTGCTTTAATGAGTCTATATTATGAGTCTGTAGTCTCAGGAATTTACATTTTATACAAATGCTTTTTAAAAAAATATTTTATTTATTTTTCGAGAGAGGGGAAGAGAAGGAGAAAGAGTGGGAGAGAAACATCAATGTATGGTTGCCTCTCATGCATCCCCTGCCGGGAACTGGCCTGCGACCCAGGCATGTGCCCTGACTGGGAATCGAACCTCAATACTCTGGTTCGCAGGCCCGTGCTCAGTCCACTGAGCTATGCCAGCCAGGGCTACAAATGCTTTTTAAGCTCTTAATTTTTTTTTCCCATTCATGGCAGAACCTGACAATGCTGTGAAACGACAAGAGGCCTTAGCAGCCGCTCGCCTGAAAATGCAGGAAGAACTGAACGCACAGGTGGAAAAGCATAAGGAGACACTCAGACAGGCATGAAGCACTTTGCGTAGGTGGCCCTAACGGTGTGAGGCTGAGTGAGTGAAGCCGTGTGCACACCCTCGGGTGGGGCCTGGGACCAGCTTGTCTGCAGCACCATCTCCAGTAGAACTGGTGAGGTGGCCGGGGGAGTTTCCTGTTGGGGCAGAGACTCGTGGTTCCCTCACAGCAGGCCTCACATAACAGGTCTGTGTAGATGCCACGCCACCAGACACACACGGTACACGTTCTGTGTGCCACATGTGAAGCTGTGTGCCACATGTGATCTGTCCTTGTGGGGGCCACGCTGCAGTGGATTGAAGGGTTCAGTGGGTGTTTTGAAAGGTCTTTCTAAAAGCACGGGGTGGTTTGGGGACATTTGTAAAAGTCACACACCACCCCTGAGAAGTGTAGACTCTTTTTCAATCCAGATGTTTACTTCTGGGCTCCTCTCTTCCCTAAGGCAGCACCAGAGCTGGTCCCTGTCTCGGTCCTGTGCCCTCCTCCCACTTTCCTTTTGTTGCTTCTGTGGTCATCCAGCCTGCAGCTGCTCTTCCCAGCCTGCTAACCACACCTGACCCCTTCTCATCACACTGTTCCAGCAGCCTTTTTCCTGGGTCACCTCCTTGCTCATCTTCTGCTAACCCAAAATGCACACTTCCTTTGATCCTTTCAAAGCACAGGTTTGGTCTCTGCGAGCTGCTGGAGGTCACACAGACCTCTGTGAGGAAGGGCCGGGGGTAGAGGCCTTGCTCTCTCCTCCAGGATGCTCATTTTCTGGGACATCTGGTCAACCTACTGGAGCCCCTGCTTCTTTTACTGGGACATCTGGTCGACCTACCAGGGGCCCCTGCTCTTTCTTCTAATTCTACCTCCCTTCTCTTCTCTCCTTCATTTCTCCCCCTTCTCCAATCATTACATTTTTGGTGTGTCTTCAAACCCCATCAACACATCCACTGGGCAGCAGTCTTAATGGCACACAAGTAGAGTTAGGGGATGTTTTTAGAATCACTGCACTAAGGAATCCCACACACAGTAAGTGCAGAGCTCTCTTTTCTGCACAGCACAGCACTTGGCTCAGGCTCATTATTCTCTGCTTTCTCTCACACTGCACCATCCTCTCAATAGTCCCCACCCAAAAGGAACAAAGGGTATGGAAATAGCCTCTCATTTTCAGGGTCACTTTTGTCATGGGGTCCCCTGGTACTACCCTCAGCTTCCCCATACTGCCAGGCAGCACCCCACTTCAGTGTACAGGGGAGCAGGGCCAGCCCTTCACTGCTAATCTACTGGTCTCTGAGCAGCTTTCTTCTGTTCACCCACACAGCACTCCACAGGTGCTGTCTTCAGCTGGAGTGTTCCCTAACTTCTATTCCACTTTCAGGGTGTGGCCACGGCTCCTGTTATTCTAAGAGGCCTCCTTTGGATTCACAAGTCACCAAACAGTGGGGGAAAGTGGCTAATTTGGTAACTCGTCACCCCATATCACCATGGCAAAGACCAGGGGCAGTGTGTTCTCACACAGATACGCACCTCTGTTTGGTGGAAATTATTCCCTCTGCTTCCTCAGGTTACTGCTCCTGGAGACCTGGACGGACAGGCCCCACAGCTGGTGTCCATTTGGGCACTTAAGCAAGGTGAACTCTTCAACCTCACTTCGATTGCCTTAATGTACACTTTTTTCACACTGACTAAAAAGCCCAGGGGACATCCCATTTATTTCTGTTCTTAACCTCCAGGTGCATCTTTCAGAGTTGAAGTCAGCAGTGCCTCTTGCCCACGTGGGGGCAGCAGGTCACTTCACTTACTACTGACTTGGTCTTTACCACGGGTGAGCTAGGCACTAGATAACAAAAAAATGAAAGTAATGATCCTTTCAGATGTTCCAAGTTCTTATTGACAAGAGGTGATGGGGCAGGGTTTTTTTTCACATACAGAAAACTCCAGGAAGTAAAAACCTTTAAACTGCGAAAAAGCACTTTGAAAAGCAAGCATCCTTCCCTAAATTTAAGGAAACCTCTAACAAAAGTGGATTCCTATAAGTCAGGCATTTGTAAAAAAGGAGGCCTTATTATCATTTCAGCTCCCTTCTTTTCCCTGCTCACTGTGCCTGACCTGCAGTGACCACAGCTGGCACACAGTGACAGTGGCATCCAGGGTTGGCCCACTCCTGGGCACACTTGGCTTAGTTCCCAGACTGAGGGTGAGCTGCTCGGTACAGTTGCCTCCCCCCCCCCCCCCCCCAAAAAAGGATGGGAAAGTGGAGCCAGAGCCTCTCAGACTGTGTCACACGTGGCAGCAGACAACGTTCAGAGCCAAGGGTTGCAGCGGGGGCCCCCTGACGTACCCCAGCCTACACTGCCAGCTGCTTGGGCATGCAGGCTCCAGAGGGACCTGGAAGAGAGCTAGGCTGGCTTTGCTTTATGTAGTAAATGCATGTTAAGGATTGAACAAAGTCTCCCCTCCCCTCAAAAGGGGATCCAGAGCTGTTAACACCTCAGCAAATGTGACCAAACTTGGAAACTGGGTCACTGCCAATGTCAGGCTGAGGAAACACTGGTCTGGCCCTGATCTAACTTGACAGGTGTTCTTCCCCAAGTGGAAGGCTGGAGATGGAGCTGCCATGCAGCCGACCTGATTGACAGCCACCACCAAGGCCAGAGACAGCCTGGGACACAAAGTGCCAATCACTGTAAACCACTTCGGGGGACACACATCACAGCAGAGCAGGCCCCCTGCAGCCTGGACAGGGCAGCAGGCTAGAAGCAGTGCTTCCAGTGTGGAGAGGAAGCAGTACTCGGGCTCCCACAGAGGTGGGGGTCTAAGTGAACCAGAGCCCAGGGCACCAACATACCTCCACCCCAGATCACCACATACACACCAACTGACGTCCTGTGCTGATCAGCCACTGGCTTGTCTCCTGGGCCACCCTGTTGGATCTGGAGCAGGTCACCCCTGGATCCGCACACTGAGGCCAATTTCAGTCCATGAGGCCAGTAGGGATGAAAGCAAGGCACACAGGTGAGGCCATTGGGAGGGTTCCAGGAAGGCTCTTCAGCTCCAGAAGACATGATGGGATCCACTCTCACCAACATGCAGGCAGCTCCATGATGACACCTGTCAGGACACAGGGGGCTCAGCACCTCCCGTGCCAGCCACAGGCTTTACTCACAACCCCATCAATCTCAGAAATGCTCCCACAACACACCAAGGAGCTGCCTACACAGCAGGGGTTCAGAGGGTGAACCCCTGGACAGGACAAAGAGCACAAAGCAGCCTGAAGCAGAGAGCAGGCTTGGCCTGGCCCTTCACCCAGCCAGTGATGAAGCCAACTGGCTGTTAAATGTCCTCTCACCAGGGGCATCAACTTCCCAGGACTGGGCCATGCAGAAGCCAGAGCTTCAGATACAGGGATTGGGGGAGGCTTCAGCGTCTGCAGCAGCATCAGGAGCCCAACACTGCACTCAGTTCCCCTCACACCAGGCACTCACTTTTTCTCACTTGTGGTTGGTTTCATTAAGAAAACCCAAGGGGACTGAGTTGCATGTTGTTGGCCAAAGCCCTGGTGGACCCAGACCAACCACTGGCAACAACCCATCATCTCTGAGATGGGACTGGGCCTCCCTCAGACCAAGTAGGCCCACCCACTCAGCAGAAACTGCAGCAGTGGCCTGAGACACCCCCCACACTCAGCCTCAGGGACCTGGGTGACGGCCCAGCAGTGGCGCTCTTTCCAAAGAGGCTCCCACCACAGGCCACAGAAGAGTGAGCATCGAAGGCTTGACGCCAAACACCAACCTGGTCAGGAAGAGCCCGTGTGGACAGGGCAGCACTGGACGGAGATGGCAGCGAGGGGAGCCAGGGTTAGAGCATGCGTGGCCAGGACTCAGAGGACCAGTGCACCCCCTTGAGCCTGCACTGGGACATGGGACGATGCTCTTCACTCAGGCTCTGCACACACCACCAGACCAAGGGCGTGGGGGGGGGTCACAAACCCCAGTCCCAAAGGTCCAGACCAGGGAGTCAACGTCTTGCAAGGAAGAGAGGAACAGGATCCCAGTGACTTCTTTCTTCAAGGTGGAGTGTGCAGGACCATCTGTAGGTGACACTCCATACATCGTCCTTGGTCTGAAGTCCTCTGCTCTTAGTGCTTTTACAATGCAACATCCATTGTTGCACAGCACAGAAGGGCTAAGTCAGCGGGGTCCGTTCCACTGCTTCCCACGGAGTGGTCCTGGGCAGGACACGGAAGAGGGTCAACGGCAGACTCGACAGCACAGGAGACACCAGTCAGCAGGGGCTGCTCCACAGCTTCCCATGCAGTGGGGTCCTGTACAGGGAAGAGCTGCCGAGGATGGGCCCAGTCAGTGGGGTCTCTTCTGCTGCTTCTCACACAATGGTCCTGGGCAGGGCACAGTGATCAGGTTCAAGGGCAGACTCGACAGCACAGAAGGGCCCAGTCAGCGGGGGTCCCATCCTCTCCTTCCCATACAGCGGTCCTGGGCAGAACCGCACTCGCCACCCTTCAGGCACAGGAGCCTGAAAGCACCAGGATGAGCCATGCGTCTGGTGTTAGTCAAACCTGGAGGCCTGTTCACAGAGCAGACTTTCTCAGCCACCCACTGTGGGGTGACCACTAATCTGGTGATACAAACCCCTCATTTCTGATGAAAAAAATACCTTGCCTGTTGGCGGGGCCAAGTTACAATGCAGGCGGCCATCCTGGAACCATGGCCCGGTCACTGATCCTCTCCACCACCCCATGGCCTCAGCCTCGGGGCTGCCAGGACCATCTGGTCAACCCCATGGATGTGACAACAGAGCAGGCAAGAGCAGTCCCTACAAGTCTCGGGATGGAAGCAAATTCCCACAAAGGTGCCCCGATGACGGGACGCTTGTAAGGATCCGTCCCCCCTCAGAGCTCCCCCCGCACAGTCTGTGCCAGGTCCCACCTCCACAGTGAGCTGGGTCCCGCTGAGGGCACTTCGGGCCCAGATCCAGGCTCCTCGGGCATCTGGGTGGGAAGCACTCTCTTCTCCCATTTCCCCGGGAGCCTCAGTGGGGTCTCACGAGTAGAGGGGCACCATCTGTTTTCTGGTCAACCCGTTCTGGCAGGCCCCCACACCTAAGCCAGAAGTGTCAGCAATGGCCACACTACATCCCCCCCACTAACCTGCAGATACAATCTCCGTAGAACAGATGAAGCGCGGACCCTGGGTGCTTCCGGGGTGAGCCTGAAAGCGCCGCTGACCTCCTGGAACTCTGGCCTGGACCCTGTAACCAAATTCCACCCCTTACTCACTACCGTGTTTATTCCTACCAGGAATTAACCAAAGAGCACCGCGTTCCCAGGCACTGAAACTTCTCTACCGCCCGTGGCTCTCTCACTGCCACCCACCCCCCATCAGGAGGGAGCCCCGGAAGATTTTGGAAAAGCTCAACCTCGTGAGCGGCTCCCCCTGCTCGTCTGCAGCCGAGCCCATATCGCTTGCCCCTGCCACTGCCGCTCTCCCCGAACCCGGCACCCGTGCCCGGGCTCGCACGCTGCCACGCCCCAACACGTCGAGTTGCGAAGCCCCCACCTCAGCCCTGGGTGCCCCGGAACTCCCGCAGACCAAATTCCATCCCTTACCCACCACCGTGTTCCATCGGACGAGGAAGCAAAACCCAAAGAATACCCTTGACCAGGCACCTAAACCTCTCTACCACCCGTGCTCCAACTGCACCCCTCCATCAGGGGAGATCCCCGGAGAACTTAGAAAAGAACCTAGGAGAGGCTCCTCACCTGTCTGCAGCCAAGCCCCCAGCCCCGGGCCGTTTCTCACCTCGGAGCCGGAAGCCTCCCGCATCTGGGTGGGAAGCACTCTCTTCTCCCATTTTCTGTGGAGCCCCAGTGGGGCCGGGGAGCAGAGGGGCACCAGCTGTTTGCTGGTCAACCCGTCCGTGCCCCCACACCTAAGCCAGAAGTGTCAGCAATGCTCACCGCAACCCCCCCAAAACCCTGCAGACACGATCTCCAGAGGACAGATGAAGCGAGTCCCCCTGGGTGCTTCCGGGGTGAGCCTGAAAGGGCCGCCGACTCCCTGGAACTCTCGCCCCGGCACTGAGACCAAGTTCCATCCCTTACCCACTACCGTGTTTATTCCTAGGAATTAACCAAAGAGAGCACGGCCTCCCCAGGCAGCAAAACCTCTACCACCTGTGGCTCCGACTGATGAGCGGCTCCCCCTGCCTGTTTTCAGCCGGGCTCACCTTGCCTCCTCTGGGCCAGTTCTCAGCTCCGCAGCGGACACCTCCTGTGTCTCCAGTGGGAGGCACTGCCTTCTCCCGTTTTCTGTGGAGCCCCAGTGGGCTGCCAGGGTACAAGGGACTGGCTGTTGGCTGATCGACCGGCTCCGACACGTTAGAAGTTAAAGCACACCACAAGCCCCAGAAACCCTGCAGGTACGATCTCCGGAGGACAGAGAAGTGCGGGCCCCTTGGCACTTCCGGGGTGAGCCCGAAGGCGTTGCCGACCGCCTGGAACTCTCGCCCGGACACTGCACCCAAATTCCACCCCTCACCCACTACCGTGATCCATCGGACGAGGAACAAAACCCAAAGAACACT